CTTCTTTGAATATAAAGTAAACAGAGAAAAAAAATTATTGTATATGTCACAATGAACAAGAAGTTACCTGATAAAAAATTATAGATGTTGTGTGAAGAAGGTCAAACTAAACAAAATAAGCCAAACAACATAAAAGGACTGCGCAGAATCATTAAGCCATCGAAGAAGGTCGAAACAAATCTACAATATAACATCTTCAAAGAACATGAAAACAACCTTCAATTAACAATAAAAATATTACAAATTTAAGTTTTATAACAAAAATACTAGATAGTGAATGCTACAACAACAAAAAATAAAAATCATTACAAAGATCCAACAACATCAAAACATTTTTTGTTAAAAAAAGCCCAAATATCAATTGGGCCCTTTTACATCAAAAAATTCTTGAAATAAGGACATTGTTTATCCTTTTAGCCTGTATCAAAAGTCCAACCGAGAGGTTTCTGGGAGAGGAGTAGGTTATAGTTACTGTTAGTGCTTACCTGTTTAACTTTGTTGGTTTTGGGGGTCTTGTGGAAACTGAGGGGATTGTCAATTCAGCTGGAAGGAATGTTCTGAGAGAGCTGAGAGCACTGAGGAAGCTAATCTCAGAGCACTGAAAAAGTTTTATCTATTGGTTTGTTCGTTGTTGGGGGAAAAAAAAGAATTTGCAAAAGATTTATGTACCTTTCTTCTAAAAGGAATCCACTTGGTGGTGATGGAGATGATTTTAGGAGGTAATTTTTTAAAAGTGGAATGAATTTTAGGAAGATAAGATTTTTTATTTTTTTACCTGAGGGACCAATGGAGATGATGAGATGAGAAGTGGAAGATGTATTAATGGTGAATTGATGTGGAAGATGAATAGTTTTGTTGGAATTTAATAAAAATAAAATTATCATTTTAACCCCTTCAAATGGCTAGTTTTTATTTTTATTTCCTAACATGGATACTATTCATTTTTTGTTTTAAAAAAGTGGTAAAAAAACGAGGCTCTGTTTAGTTAATATGTAAAGGCAAATTTTAAAGAACTTATAAGGAAAACATACATAGTTCTAAACTTCTATTAGCTACTAACCCGTTTCATTTAGGTAACCCATAGTCACCAATTTGTTAACTAACTCATATTTATTAATTAAGAAAAAAGGAGAAAAAAATCTCAAAATTGATCCACTCCACAATCTTTGTTCCATAAAAACCAAGCAAGCCTACATAAGATACAAAATAAAAGATGTAAAAATATTCACCTTTAGGCTTTTNTACAATTCACCTTTAGGCTTTAACTAAAGATCAAAAGTGAAACAAAAAAGCTTGAAACATTTTTTTCTTTTTTCGCTTTGGATAAGAAAGAAAAAGAAGACTGCAGCATATAAAAATAAAAAAGTAAATATAAAAAGAATACTCCCCAGATCCCACCCGCACGCCACGTGTAGACCACAACACGAAAAGCCGCAATATTCCCTGCTCCCACGGTCCCACCCGATCACAACGTGGGGCCCACGGGTATCTTTAGCGGTTTTTTTGGCCTGTATCAAAAGAGTCCACCCGATCCAACTCGGTGTCGTACGGTTCAGTTCGTTTTTTAGCTGAAAATTTTTCACTTGATCTTGTTATATACTGGCGTGCGATTTAATTATTATTATTTTATTTATAAATTTGATTTATTTTTACATTTATTAATACGTTTTTAAAAACATCAAACAACACCAAGTTAAATACAAATATGCAAAACAATCGATAGAAAAATCAGAAAATCGAGTCGAAACGCTTATTCTGGTGTGGTGAAAAATTTTGGTGGGCAAGGCTACTCTGTGTCCCGGGTACAGACGTTTTCCACTCACCGGCCAATAGGATACTCCCACGCATCCTCACTTCTCCAGCTCTCCTTGCCATCTTACCGTTGTATATGAAAGAAGCATCTTCTTACCCACATTACCTTTGTTGTTCTGTGTGAAAACCTCTCATTTCCGAGGCTATGGAGTTGATGGAGTTTTTGTGCCCTGATTCTCCTTATGTAAGCTGAATTTATTTTGGTGATATTTTGTTTTTTATTTCGTTGTTTAGTACTTTTATGTGTGGGAAATATATTTTCCGTGGGGCATTATTTTATTGAAAAAAGATCAATATTGGTGATTGAATTTATGTCTGAGTCCACAATTTTGTTTCTTAATCGTTTCAATTTCTTTTGGCTTGAGCCAGAAATTTCATGTTTGCATGTTGTATTTGTATTTTTCTTGGTACACAATCATATGTTTGACATGACCCTCATGTAATGTGAGTGTGTGTGTGTGTGTTTAATTTCTGGTTGTGCTAAGATGAATTCTTGATTTTTTTTTTTTCATGTACAACAGGTGTGGGATCTTAATGGAGTTTCAGGGTGTTTTAACAATCTATATCCTTCGATTAACGGTAATATTTTTTTTTTTATTCATAGTAAAAAATGAGGTGAACTGAAAATGAACAACTTAATCTTGTCTACATCCATTTTGTCTTTGACGAAAATATTTACAGTGCTGGGGTTCGGAGTCAACTTGCTCACTGTGGTTATTGTAATTCTGCTTGCGGCTACGGATAGGAACCGAAAACAATGGAGGAGGGTATGTCAAAAGGCATATAGTCAACGTTTGAATTTGAATCAATACAGATTTGGTTTAAAATTGCAGTAATATCAAATACATGTCGATACTTGCAATGTGTCTACCTCTGATTACTTCAGTAACTAGGCACTGCTTCAAAATATGCATGTATTTTGTTCTTTAATCTTTAAATTGCAATAAACTGTTCTCATTCTAGAGCTGTTGTTTCTTGCTAATTCTTCTGAAATCACACAGATACATCGATCGGTAAAGACATCTCTCTCCATTTTGACCGCTTTTGGAGTGTGTGGTGCGTTCTTCGGCTTAAGTATTCTCTTGATGAGTGCCAAACCTGTTCGTTATCATGAATGGTTGTATGCAGGCTCACAGCTGTCGGTTTGGGTAAGCCTAAATGTGTTCTTATGGGTTAGAAACTCCGAAAAAGGGCAGCTATTCATTTATTTTTTTCCTTTTTCTTGACTAACTTAATGTAATTTCAAATTTGATTTCCAGGTGGTTGTTCTTATCGTGTGTAGAGGCGAAAGTTGGCTGCATGTTTTATGTAGTCAAATTCTCTGTTTCTGGTGGATCGTAAAACTCCTACTTTTGATACTACGGCTAAAAGTACTACTTTCTTCAACTCAGGTGATTTGTTTGACTGAAGTACTTTTTTNTTTTTTTTTTTTTTTCACTTAAATTATGCTTTGTGAATTTGGTTTTCTCATCTTTGGCTCTAACATTAGTTATCACAAAGTAGAAACACCTACGATATTGCCATCATTAGTATCACTACAAGCACGAGTTGAGTCAATTATACCAGATTATGGCCATTATCACTCAAACTCCTGTAAACTGAGAAATTGAAAATGTTCCGAGATAGAACTTGCCACACATGTGGAATAGTAATTGACAAATTTTGTTTTCATCACAGGTTGTAACATGGATTGAGGAAATTTGTCTGGCTGTCATCGATATCGTGTTTGGAGTACTAATTAATATAATCAGAATGAAGGCTGCATTTTCAGGACATAGGTGAAAGAACTGACACACAATGCTATTATTTTTCATTGCCTACACACAAGATATTATCAAACCTTTTACATACTTTTTACAATAGATAATATTTTAATCTTACGGTTCTCCAAAATTTACCGTGATAACCTGTTACACTGTAGTTCGATGGAGAACGAACCACTCCTCCCCTATCAAAGGCCTACTGAAGAAGGTTCTATTAGGAACTCGGTAAGTATATTCTGTAGCACTGAAGAAGGTATATGGTTTGATACGAACAGGACACTTGTATGTTTATTTTTACTTGCCTCATAGGATAATATTTTAATGACCTTTGGAATTTTCCACCTTTCAACATGAGTTT